TCTGGTTTCTGAATACATGAAAATAAAATACCCATGAAAGTAAAAAAAAATACCCAAACTGCATCAGTTCAAACAAGACCCAAAGTTTTTGTTTTTTATTCTGGATAAAAGCTATTTTTTGAACAACAGTTCTAAAGACACGCATGCTTGTTGTGGCTGCTTTGTCATGGTACATTTTGACATGCTGCTATATCTGTGTTAATTGTGCTTTGGTGGTTGAATTGTGGAGAATCTAAGCTTTCCAATGATGTCTAACATGTCTATATCTTAAACATTTACTAGTGTAATTTTCATGCATATTATTTGTAAATGCTTTAAAACGATTTGAGAGGTTAATGGTGCACAAAAATTCCATTCCATTTTATTCCAACAGCAGCTTTTTTCCCCCAGTGCCTCCATGCCAAAGCAATTTATCTACTTAAACTTTAGAAAGAAAGAACAGATTGAAACCAAAGACTAGCTGGGTTTTTTGTATTTTTGTTGTTGTGTTTTTGTTTTGCTTTTTGTTGTGTTTTTCATGCCACTCTCTGTTGAGGAGTTGAGTTTAACACAACAAATACAAAATTAAACAACAACAACATAAAAAAGGATAATTCTCTCCTCCAGTGAAGCTGGAAAATTCTCTGCCCCAGTTTTCAGTCTGTTCCATTTTGCGCGTTCAGATAAGACTAAAGAATAATGATCAAAAAGGTATAATACCACATAACATATTCAGATAAACTTGGAAAAGGAAAACTATTCCCACTGAATGAGAAAACATGTTTACCTTATTGGGCTTTAGAGGTGTGTTTAACAATATTCCCAGCAGACGCTCTCTGAATGTGTGCTTGCCTTTGCCCACAAACTCACCTTCACTAATATATCTTCCATCGCCATTTCTTGGACCGACGAATATCGGTCAGAAAATTGTTACATATCATTCAAACTTATTGTAAACTGAGGTGAAAATTTATGCTTTCAGTGTCGTTTGTTTTTAATGCTGGTTTTCTCTTAATTTGTGATGAACTAGAAGAGACCTATTGCCACCTGCTGGTAAAGGTCTGATTTGATTTCCAAGAGACCTGAGACTTTTAGGCAGTAAGAACTTGGATCCATAATTAGAAAAGCTTTCAGGTGGCTCCAATGTTTCCTTACCAAGATAATCAAACCATTTATTTTGCTTTTACAACAAATTATGTCCTGATTTGCCAACATTTACATTGCTTTACATTTATTTTAATGGACTAACTCAAAGAAGTATTTTCTTTATATTTGGTTTTCACTTTTTCATCACACAAAACTCATCAAATATTTTTTTGGATTCAATTCACTTTAATCTGACTCTCCTAAATAAAACCCAGCTGTCAATATTTAGGGCCCTATAAAATCAGTTTTAATTTTTCCAAAATTCCGTTTTATTTTTTCCAAAATTCCGTTTAATTTTTTCCAAAATTCCGTTTTATTTTTCCAAAATTCTGTTTTATTTTTTCCAAAATTCCGTTTTATTTTTTCCAAAATTCCGTTTTATTTTTTCCAAAATTCCGTTTTATTTTTTCCCAAATTCCGTTTTATTTTTTCCCAAATTTCGTTTTTTCCGTTTTAATTTTTGAAAATTCATTTTTTTCCGTGTTAATTTTTGAAAATTCTTTTTTTTTTTTTTTTTTTTTGAAAATTCATTTTTTTCCGTTTCAATTTTTGAAAATTCAGTTTTTTTACCCTTTACTGTTATTTCAGTCGTAAAAAGAATGTGCTTTTAATGTTAATGAATAAAATTTACACAAATAAAATAGGAATTACCTTAAATTTATTGAGGTAAAAAAAACACATTTACTCAGTACTTTTACTGCATGATGCAACATAACACTGCACACAAAGTACTAACAAAATATTAATGGTTATGTTAAGTGCTCCATTAGCTTTTTAAAGTAAAAAAGTAGGACCTCTCAATTGGATGACAAGTGGTCAGTGCATGTATTTTTGCGCTTCCAATCAATGGAATGTTGACAAAACTTGCAAAACAATAGTTCACCTGACACGTAAAAGTCACGAGGGACTTGCTCGGGTCTGTGCTCGGGGCTTAGCGTCGTGTTTCTCAACTTTTTCGCCGAAAGCGGAGCTGTGGAGAGCCGCTTCGCCATATTTTCAATGTTTTGATGGGGGAGGGTGTGTGGAAATGACGGAGCGGGAGGCGCTGTGTCGCCAAGATTTGCGTCCCCCGGTGTGCATTTCCCCCCCGACGTACGTTCTTCTCCCACACAAAAACAGAATTTCATTTCAAATGTAGAAATTCCGCGTTTATACTACATTCCGCTTTAATTTGCCAATTCCGTCCGCGATTCCGTGTTCGTGAAATTATAGGGCCCTAAATATTAATTTAGTGTAAAAACTGCTGCTCTATGACGGCCGCAAAGGTTTAATAAACTGACAGGATGATCAGGAGGGAAGTAAATGGAAAGAATACTGTATGGGAAACTGAAGAGCTCCAGAGATTCACTAATCACTTTGGAGAAAGTATTGACTAGTTATAGGGCGTAACAATAAAGTCAAAACTGACATTTTTAGCTTACATGCATAAGAACATTGAAACATTTGGACATAAATATAAATTGAGGAGAAAAAAAGCATATTTATTTTATCTGACTGATATTTGTACTCGACATGGATTATACACTGAAGACAAGTTTTTATACTTTATTTTAGTCTCTGTTACGCTCATCCTTTTTAGATTAAGTTAATCTAAAAGCGTTGTTTTGGAAAACCCTGTTTGCTTTAGAAGTATGATTGTAGATCTTTTTTACAAAACTCGGGGATTGAAAAGAGCTTTGGACGTTTTCACAAGTTTGTGATCTCAGGCTAAATTTGCTTTGATAAGTGAATCTTAATGTAGGCGTGTAGAAGCTCGTTTTTTTTGTTGCTACCTGATGCATTGAGCCAGTAAGAAAAGCACTCATGAGTAGGTTTTTTTTTATTTTGATCTCATTTTAAAAAGCAGCACTGAACTGAATGTTTTCTATCAAAGAGGAGGAGGTCATAAATTTACCTCTACATGGAAAGACTGGGGGGGTCTTGCATGAATGCACACTCTAGGTGAGCTCCTTCTACTTTTATCCCTTCATGGGAACCTGCTCCATTAACGAAGGCAAGTCTGAAAACAGAACCTTATGCTAAGTAACTGCTAGGCCTCGGCTGTCTATTCATATAAAGCTTTTTAACCTTTTTGTTCATCAATAATAATAATAATAATACTCTGGCGTATTTCCATTTCCCATCTCAGACCTTTGTGCCTGTTTGAATCTCCCAACAGGCGGCCGCACCACTTCAGAGACGTGATTATGACCACAGGCCATCAGCGCCGTCACGCCCCTGACTTAACTTGAAATTCCACATTATTTTTAAAGCCTGTGACTTTTGAGCTTTGCTTAAATGCCTGCTGCTAATGGGCTCTCATATCCAGTCCTTATTATGCTTCCATTGATTACTTTCTTTATTTTATTATAGATTTTATAGTTCTGATTTATAATTTTGTCTTTTATGCTCGTGTGGGTTTTTGAGTCTGTGTAATGGTGTTATGTTATTTCACTGTACAGCACTTTGGTCCTTAGAGAAATTTTAAAGTGCTTTATAAATAAAGTTGGATTGGATTGCTGAAAGTAGAAGCTGGAGGATTCTGGCTTGAAAATTTACTAAAAGTTTTTTAGTCTTCTATATAAAGACATGTTCAGCATCCTACTTTGAAGGATTTGTCAGGAGTATCCTTTGTGGCCTATGGTTTCCCAGAATTCACTGCAGCAATAGCCGATGATGATGGTAAACATGGGGGGAAAAATTATATAAATCCCTCCCTAGGACCCAAAATAAACCTTTAAAATGTTTTACGGTATGCCTGGGCGATTACAGACCTTAAATCTTATCATGATATTTTGTGGTATTATCTTCATAACGATACAAATGGAATTAAAAAAGCTTTTCATTACGTCTTTGAGGTCTCTCTCAGGTAATTGTTTGGCTGTGACTGTTTGCCTCATCAGTCTTAGCCCCACAATCACAAACTCTGCTCTTGAAAAATGAAAGGAAAAAAAATAAATCAAGAAAACAGAAGTAGCATTTATATCATTAAACAATCTTCCCTCTTAGCTGCATGCTTGCACATTCTCCACACACAAGAAAATCTGTCCAACATAAACTATAAATCAATTAGACCAATACAACTATTCCATCTGTCATTTTGAATCTGTGTATAGCTGTTATTTTAGCAAAATACCTGAAACAATTATTGATTTTGTAACATAATGTAGAGAAATGCAGAGCAGTTATTTGTCCTCGCCATACTGAATTCAATACATATTTAAGAACAAATGAATAAAAGGAATACATTCATATTATTTATATTTAATTCTGGGCTCATTAAGCATTTCGTCTTTATTTCGGCTAATTACAAAAGACCTCAGTCAGCTGGGCACTGGATGCAGCAGCTGAAAATCTGATTTCAAGCTTCCAGTGCTGATTGTGAAAGAATGTTTAGTTGTTTTCCAAATCAAGACGATTTCTGGATGCTGATTTGATACAATTCAATGAACTAAAGAAGTAAGGACATGCAAAAAAAGATCAAATTTGTTCATGTTTTAGTGATATTAAGTTTTTTTTTCACGTTTAGATATTAATCATGAAATGCTTATACTGTTTTGATAGTAAAAACTCTAAAAACTGTGTGATTAAAAAAAAATTGTCATGGATGTGCGAAAGGGTATAAGCCAGTTTGACCTTTGAACTGCCAGGAGAATAAACATTTAGCTGAAGTGGTAATCCCTTTTAAACAATCGGCAAACTGGGAAAGTTTTGTGGCTTTTATTCGTTTCATTTGCTGCTATAGATTAAATCCTCAAAGTTATTCTTTAATTTTGGTTGTTTAAAAAACCTGAAATGTATAATAATCCTGGATCAGCAGAACTTCAGATGAACCTACTAAGAACAATCATCAATCTTTCAGCTTACCCCCGTCTTTCCTTTCTGCTTTTCTTCAGTCCCCTGCTGCCAACCTCGACAAGCAAGGTGAGCCTCACCACCACAGAGACGCCAGACCTGCTGTGAGCCGCCGCCGCCACAACTCCTCAGATGGTTTCTTCAACAATGGCTCCCTGCGTGCTCCAGCAGGTAAGTCACAGGCGAAGCTTTGCTCAAACTTTAGGCTGTTTCTAAGCGAGTTTAACTATTTGAATGAGGAAAAGACTGTTTAAAATATCAGTGTTTATGAGGAGAGCTTTCATTATGTGGCTGTTTAGAGGAGCTCTACTAGACGTGTTGAGTTTGAAAGCTTTCTTGGACAAAAAGAGTGAATCCAGCTCGCTTCTGTCAGTGAGCCCCAGGGCAGCTGTGGCTACAATGTAGCTTGCCACCATCAGTGTGTGAGTGTGTGCGTGAATGGGTGAATGAATGTAGTGTAAAGCGCTTTGGTAAAGTTTCCTGGCTTGAATAAGGGCGCTATAGAAGTACATGCCATTTACCATAATAAATCCAACCAATCAGTGAAAAGTGTTAACATTTCCTTATCTCTAACTTGGATCTCTGCTGCTTCCAGAAATAGTCCAAGTGCTTTTCAAACAGCCAACTGTTGTTTTGGTTGTAGTTTTTTTTTTTTTTGGCAACCTGTAAATATTAGCAACCCAACTTAGCCCTGCCCACATTCGGTCTGCTGGTTTTACCGCTGTGTGTGTTGTAGCTGCTTGAAAAGCTGGATACTGCGTTGTTTGCCAAAAGACTTCAGCTGAAGCCGTTTTTTTTTCTGTTAGCATAAGCTAACGCTAGCAATAGGATCCTGAAGATGGTGCAGGAGGCTCCACCACTTCCGGTCAAAGATTAACAGTTGAACCGTCTTGCATCCGTTTGCAGGCATTTTGACATCTATAAAGCAGGGGTGAGGACTCCAGTTTGGGACTCGTAATCGAGTCTCACTTAAATAACATATTTAGTGACTTCAAACTGCAAAAAATAGAGGATGCTGGTTCAACAATATCTAATTTTATCCGATACCTTAAACACGCCTAGAAAGGTTGATGTTAGCATTCATGCCACAGACAAGCTTAGCTCCATAGCATCTGACACATTGCTTTATTACATATGTGTCAGTGTGAGCTAAAATCTGCTTTGACTGTTTAAAATGAGAGGGCTTTAATGTAAGTTTGTGGCCATCCTCTACACCAGAAAGAAGCTTTGAAATTACGTAATTTTATGACATTTATATCTTATTAACTTTGTGGATCAATGCTAATTTTGTAATCTTTCAAAAAATATTAGAGAATTTGGTACTAATTTAAATGATTATCCACGTCTATTTGCTGTTTCTGTGACATCTTGCAACAACGTTTTAGTGCTTTTTCACATCTTTTTCTTAAATAGATAAACTTAAATTTAAAAAAATAAATAAAACTTAAATTATTAAACACATTAGGGTGGATCTTTTAATTTTTTATTGCATCGCTTTATCAACACTTAGGCGATCCAACATTCAGGACATCAGCTTGTATTTCGGGTATCTCTGTTTCTACAGATTAAATTGTTCACCCATTCTTTTTAAAGATGGCTCCAGGAAGTAGAAGTTTATTTATATGAAAGGTTTTCACAGAAAGGATGTCACATTTTGCCTCACCACAGAATGAACAGCACCATACATTACAGACTATAAATACACGGTGCAGTCAAAAAGGCATATCATAAAAACTGAAGTCTAAGTAACTGCTTCTTAAGGTAGATCAGAGACTTGACTTGGCTGCAAAGCAGGCAGCACAAGGTTTGAGTGCAACAGTTTGGAAGAATCAGGCCCTTCAAGTTCTGATGGTGAGGCAGTAAATCTTAGCCTGACTGGATGGAAGGAATCAGTTTTCAAGTCTTACTCCAGATTAGGGATGCACGATATTGGGATTTTGGTCGATATCCGATATGCCGATATTTTAAAACTCATGTAGCCGATAACCGATACCGATGTTAAAGCTGGACAAAAATAAGTAGTCATTGAAAATAGCAGTTTTGTTATCCATTTCTGACACTTTGAAAAATAATATACTCAAATATATTTTCATATGCTGATATCAAATAGATTTTTAAAAACGCGGTATCGATCTATTTTACTTTCAAAATCTCATGAAATTTCATCGTTCTGTTACAAACTCTCGTGATATTTAGCAAATTCTTGTGAGATTTTGTTAGTAAAATAGATCGATACCGCGTCAGTATATCAACATATAAAAATATGGCAAAATTTTGTGAATTTTCGGGGGATTTCGTAGCATAACGATGACATAACAATATTTCATTAGTAAAAGAGATTGATATGGTGTTTTTAAATGGCAATATTTCAGCATATGAAGATATTGTGATATTTTAATGTATCAATATTTTTTCCCTCGTCTTTAGAAGTTTTTAAGTCTGTAAAAAAGAAGTTTTTGAGGAAGAAGAAGAAGTAGTAGTATTTTTTATTTTTTTTTTAGGCTTTAGAAACTCAGAAGCTGATCAAATATCAGGTTAAATATCGGTGGGGTGGCCGATATCCGATATTCAGTTTTAAGGCCGATACAGGCCGATACCGATAGGGAGCCGATTATATCGTGCATCCCTACACCAGATTCTTAAATGAGTTCAGCTCTGAACTTTGACTATTTGACCATTTTATTACATAAAGTACTTTGATGGAAACCCTTCCGTGGCAGCTCTGGCTCTACGGTCGGCTTGTTGTCCTACTGGAGGATAAACATCCATTCTAAGGCTTGTAAGTATGGTCCAGTTTCTCAAAAATGCCACTAAAACAACCTGAGGCTGCATTGGTGTGAACAGACTAGGGTTGTCAAAAGTATCGAAACTCAAAAAAGTATCGATACTGAAACGTTGTATTCGGATACAATACTCGTTTTTTTAAAGTATCGATACAGTGCCACCACCAGTGGCACCTAAGCAGTCATTCATCTAAAGTGCAGAATAGAGGACAAAGCACTTTCTGACCACTGTTTGATTGAATAATTCTGTGCACTTTTCAGTTTCAGACTTTTTTTGTAAGAGGTGCAGCTGCTGAGAATTATTTTTGTTTCTTAACCGGTTTGGCTAGTGTTGTTGTTATGTGTGCAAAGCATAGCCAAGGAAGGAACACTAAATTTTAATTTTATAAGTTTTTTTTATCAAGCTTGCTTAATATTGTGCACAGCATACAACCTTTATTGTATTTATTTATTAATGAAAATATTTCTGTTGAATTTTGGAGTCTTTGTTTTTATCCTTGTATCGAAAATGGTATCGAGTATCGAATATTTTCCTTAGTATCGTGACAACCCTAGAACAGACGTTCCAGAAATGTATAATGAGGAGCATTTAGGCTCTTTTTCTATGAACATTTTTTTCAATGATTCCCATAATTATGTTTTCATCTGTCATAGATTTAGGAAGATAATGTCGTGTACAAGCTTTAGCTTTTACTTATCTATTTTTATTGATCATCCTATCAAAAGCACACATTTCTTACTCTGTGCAGGAAACCCTTTTTGACAAACGGCAGCTAACAGCTGCCCAGAATTTTTATGAAGAACCTCAGAGGAGGATCAAACCAGATCATCCCTTTATTCAGACACAGTGGGAGATCTGGCCTAGAAGAGAGCATGGCTAGCTGATTTAGCTAAGGTCAAGGAGTCCAAACTACAGGAGCTGGGGACTAAAATTAAACCGTAAATAATCCTGGAATAGACTTAATTAATTAATGTTTCTGTTCTACCAAATATTATTAATGTCTAAAAAAATTCAGTGTTTAAAATTCGGTGTTAAAAAAAGGCAGATTCCACTGAGACTGTTTTTCTTCCATATTGAAGCAACTTAAATGCATATCTCAGCTTGCTGTAATTTAATTTGTTTTTGATCCATTTCGTAGGCGATGGATGGCAGCAGCCCTCGCTGCTACTGAGGCATGACTCAGTGGACTCGGGGGTGGCCAAGGGGGGGCACGGCGGACTGGCAGGGGGCTCTTGTTGGAAGGAAACACCCGCCTGGCACGGAGCTCCCCGAGGAGCCCAGGACGGCCACCACCAGGGACGTCATCCCAAACGAGGAGGGGGCGACAGGGACAGGCAGGGGGGGCACAGGCAGCGCAACGGCAACTTCCATCCCCGCAAGGGGACTCCGTACCAGGACAAGTTTCCCAACGAGGAACGCAAAGACAGCAAGGACGACAAGCTGAATTTCGTAGAAGAGGACTTTGTGAGTTCCTGACGTCCGTTTCCTTGGTTTGATGCTAACTGTGTCCGCGCTAACATGGCTGCTTCCTTTGCAGCCCTCCCTCAACCCTGAAACAACTGGAAAGCCTGGCAGCCAGATGCGAGCAGTTGCTCCCCATGCTGGGGTGTGGGGTAGGAGACAAATCTACTCCTGATGCCGTCATTGTTCATCGTCTCCTCCTCATGTCGACACCTCCTCTTTAACCGTTCTGCTTCGTGTTCCAGAAAACCCTCCTGTTGGCAAACAGATGGTGTCCAAAATGCTGGTCATCAAGAAGGTTTCCAAGGAAGACGCTGGAACAGCTTTCTCTGCAGGGTTCGCCACTGCCGGCGCCTTGCCCACCAATGGCAGCAAAGCTCCGCTCACAGGTTCCAGCGTCTACAAGAACCTGGTCCCCAAGCCTGCTGTGGCCCACACCAAGGTAGGAGTGTCAGCGAGGGGACAGTTTTATCCACCCCTCCAGGTACAACGGGGTTCCTGCTGATAAATGGTCATTTTATGAAACCACCAGAGTTTGTTTTTTATGTTATTTTAATATTCCATGTGCTCATCAAACGTTGTTCTAAAGAATTTCCTTATCTTCAATTAATACAGCATAATTTATTGAGATTTAACAGGTTATAGGTTTATGGCCACCAGGGGCAGCAGAGCTTCATCATAATGCTACCTTCAGACCGCAAGAAGCAGCAGCTGCTGGAGTTGAAAAAATTGAACTTTTGCTGCTCAATGCGCCACATCAACCAATCAGAGAAGCTGATCTGGGAGCTGGCAGGGAGACAGACACATCGCTGCTGATACAGATCGCTATGATCACTCCTCTGAAACAGTTTAACCCCTTAGATTAACTTAAAATGTCGAAACTTAAGGGAAAAATATGTTTGATTTTATTATTCTGGGGCCTGAAGTTTGGATAACATACATGAAAGACGCCTTCCAGGCACCACGAACAGTAGCGGAAAAGAGGCGAACGGGCCAGAGGCTGCCGTTGAACTGGATTCCCAGTGACAGCGCACCGCCGCTGTACGGGGGTCTGAGCAGCTCCGACTACAAAATATTTGAAGGCAGGATCATAATCTTGATGAACTGACTGCACAGATTAAGTTTTCAAGTGGACTTTCTCACTTGAAAACATATTGAAACTACTTTTTACCCACTAATAACAGCAAATATAGCAAAGCTGCTCTCTGCCATTGAACACAGGAGCAGCAGAAGCATCAGAGACATCTGGACACACTTTACTGGACGTCTGACCTTAATGTGGACCAGCATCAACACTGTAGAATCAGAAGCCTGTTTGCTGCTTCCAGTGCTTGCGGCCTGAATGTAGCTTTGTTAATAAAAATAAGCCTAGCAACTTTCTAGATTTCATCAGCCATCGTTACAGGCAAAGAAAGGATAGGGTAGCTCTGCCCAACGCGAATCAGACCAAATTTTCCCACCGTGCAGCTAGAGCAGCAAAGATGCTTCCGCTGCTCATCAAAACTAAACTGGTGCAGCATAAAAAAATTAAGCAGCAAGGGTGCTTTTGCTGCTTCTGCTGCAACATTTTTCTCCTACTTGCCAGAGGTGTCGATGCTGTAGCTTTTTTTGGGTTCTGTTTTTGACGGAAGTACAGACACTTTAGTTTTACTCACTACATTTGAATACACATATTTTTTACTTTCTACTCCCTACTTTGTCAAAACTGGTTCATTTTTCACTTTTGTTTGATCCTAGATTTAAAGTTGTTTTTTTTTTTATATTTCAGTGTGAATTCTATTAATGCTGTGAAAACCAGAAATATAGAAGTATGCTCATGAAAGACTGCTGCCCAGTTCTATTTCTGTTAAACTATCTGAAATATTTACTCGAACAAAACTGTTTTACATTCTCTCTACCAGCAACCATTTTTACCAGAATCTTTGTTTTACACATGTATCTATACTTCTACTTATTTCTGTTGATACACAATACCTGTGCTTAGTTGGACTGATCAGAGGCCTTATTAAAACAGAGCCCAAATACTCCTTCTTTTTGAAAAATATAGTCTTATGATGAGAGCCCTTACAATTATAAGCCTTCAGTAATAAACTTTATAAAATATGTATGGTGTCATCTAAGGTTTATATAGCTTTGAAGTTTTTATTATTTAATTTTTTTGCCTTCTAATTGAGCTTTTATTTGTTTTTACTAATTGTTAGCTCGTTTGTTTTTTATGTTCCGATCATCATTTCAGGTTTTTTTGGGTTTTTTTTTAAATTAGTATCAGTTAAACTTTTTATTTGTAAAATGTCTTGCATACCGGGGGCAATTCTGGAATGTATATATCATATTTATATATATATAAAAAAGAAAATTAATAGTAGAAATAAACTCCTAGATAAGGTTGGACCACTGCACCAACACTGACAACCTGACCGCCATGCTGCCATCTGCTGGCATGATGCGGTACAGCAAAAAAAAAAAAGCAACCAGAAACTAGCCGTCATATGGATGCATTATTATAAAGACGCAAACAAAAACTAGGCATATTCTCTCATAAAATTAAGCTTTAATTAGATTTGTAAACTCTCTTATCACAGTTTTAGTTATTTTTTTTTTCTTTTAGGCTTAGTTTTTGTTTGTAATTCAGTAAACAAAAAGATCTCTATTCGATAATAACGTTGGTGACATCCTAAGCTGCCAGATTTAACATTTGTTTTAAGTTTATTTGTTTATTTTATTTTTTTGTACTGAACAGACTTGGACTGTTTCTGTAAATGAAGCTTGTCATCTTTTTCCCAGAGCACCCAGTGGAAATCCGGTGGTAGAGAGATCACAAAGTCTGGCCTTCACATGCCCGGCCGGGATTCAGTCTTCACCAGCCCAGTCTCTGCAGCCAAACCCAGCACCCCGGTCAGCGCTCCACAGCACAACACCCAGAAAGAGGTTAGAGCTGCACAAAAGATGGCTTCTTATCCAGTCTAAGAAAAAATAAAACCTTAAATACTGTAGATTGTTAGTTCTTTTTTGGACCCATTTATTATTATACATTTTAATTTTTATTTGCAAGAAAAACCTTTATTTATTTTGTGGTTTTGCGTGCAGCAACCTTCCAGCACGACTCCTCCCATAGACATCGCCCCCTCCAGGCTGAAGCTGATGCGCCGCGGTCCAGACCGAAAGAGCGAATTCCTGCGAACTCTGAAGGACGAGGGCACCGGGGAGCTGACGACGAGCAGCAGCCCGGGAACATCAGGAGAGGTAAGCGGCTGCCGAAAACCCAAATGAGATTAGGTTTATAGGGATGGGAGGGGGTTGCTGAAAAGTTTTTCGATGACATGTTAAGTGTTGGTTTGTTTTGTCTCAGGGTGACAGCAGCACCCCAGAGCCCAAAGCTTACAGTGAGGAGGTCTGCCATGAGAACGGCCTGTCCTACTCCCTCAGTGATTCAGATACAGAACACCTGTCCAGCTCCCTGGAGGCAGAGCACAGGTGAGAACGCTGCTAACTGCTGAGCCTGTCTTGCATGTTTTTGATACATGAACAACAATCTATGCTGAACATCACACAGGCTGCTGAAGGCGATGGGCTGGCAGGAGTACCCAGAGAATGATGACAACTTCCTGCCTCTGACAGAAGATGAGCTGAGAGAGTTTCAAACTAAAACAGAACAGGTGAGAAATCGACTATCACTGCGGCATCCTTGCTAACCCGTCCACCCTCCTCATTCATTTTGGGGGTTTTTGGGTTTTTTTTTTACCACCAGCTGAAGAAGAACGGCATGCAGAGGAACGGGGTTCTCCCGGGGACACGGCGCGTGACCCTCCACTTCACCCCCTGGAGGAGTGTGGCGGAGGCGCACGTGGAGGAGGGTTCAGAATCGGAAACCAGTAGCAGCAGCCAGAGCTCCGACGACGACGACTGCATCAGATCCTAACACGGCTTTACGGAACAAAAACCTACAACAAAACAGCCAACACCACATCCCAGCAAGCCACCCGCCCACACACCCCCCCCTTCTCCTGTCTCATCTCTCCTTTAGAGCACCGTTTTGAATTTCTCAAATTCTTTTTGTTTTTTCGTCATTCTTGCACAAGGGAAAAACCAATCATATCCCAGTGAAGGGGGAGATTCCTGCTCTGCCAGACGTCGTTTTCCCTGCGTTTCCTCCTTCACTGCAGTCCTTGACCTCTGACCCTTTCCTCACCCTCTTCCTTTTTTCTTCCTCGCTTTGTTGAACTGAAGTGTTCATCAAGAAAAAGAAGGGCAATGAATGCACACTTGATTCTGCTTTAAACAGACTAACTCATTTCATTGATGATGCTGATGACACATTAATATTGATATTAATAAAAATTGGTTCCTGACAAGCTGATATGTTTCACTATGAATCCGACTACTGTGGTGTTTCACCTCCAATCTCTTCTGTCTAGACCGGTTGGCCAGAAGGAAATATTGGGGAATATATGGAGTTCTTTAGAAAATGTTTTTTTTTTTTTTTTTTTTTTTCTACTTAAATCTATTTCTACAAGATGAAGTGTTCTAGTATCTGTTTGCTATAATTCTTGGATCCAAACAGCCAGAAATAATGTCTAAAATGTTACATGGGAGAAAAAACACACAAAAAATGCAATACTGCATAACATTTGATCCAAGTAATAGATTAATTTGGCAAAAAAAAAATAAAAGGATTTTTTTTTTCTTTTTGGGCATGCTTTGGTAGCGCAGTGTTTAGCGCGCACAACCCATAAACAGAGGCCTTAGTCCTCCATGTGGCCGACCCGGGTTAGAATTAGGCCTTGACCGCATGTCTCTCCCCCCTTATACCCCCTTTCCTGTCAGCCTGCTGTACAAAAAAGGAGCCACTAGTGCTGCAAAAAAGATTTCTCAGGTCAATCAGCAGCACTTGGCTGCTAAGTTTGGTCTGTCCTTTGGAAAAACTGGCAAAAGTAATTTAATGTGAGCCAGAGCGCCACTTTACAGAGGTCTGAAGTCAGATATGACATGTACCTGCTCAGCATGGGCGGTTCTACATGGGGCCAGCGGCCCATTAGACCCGGCCCCAGGTCTAAGATATAGCTGATATATTTTTATGTTTGCACCCGCAGTGTGAGCAGTTTTTGCCTTAAAGTAACATTTTGTGTTTGACAGGTTTATTTCAACAGTGATTTAATGAAAATGTTACCACATTCACTTGCTAGATCAGGGTCTCCAGAGCTGTTAGTGGCTTTTTGTCTCTTGATATAGTAAATAAACTTTAATCCTGTTTTTCCTTTTTTGCTCTGTGCCCCCATCAAAAGTTGTCATGAAATCTGGATCATGATCGGAAATAAAGCTTTCTCTGTCAGGTGAGGTTCAGAGTTTATCCACTTCTCTCCATATAGGAGTCAGCTGAGTTGGGTTTGATGCCTCTAAGACGCCGCCCTAAAGAGGAAGCCCAGGGTCTGACTCAGGACAGGCTGATGGAACTATGTCTCAGCTGACCTGGAAGCCCCTCTGTCTAGCACAGCTGGAGGTCATATCTGGGGGAGTTGGAGTCTGAGACCCCGCGATATGGTCCTGGTTAAAGCAGATAAGTATGAGCTTTAAGCAAAGCAAACAAATTGACAGATTTTTTTCAGTGGGATGTTATTTGTGGAAAATGGTCTGACATGAAATCATTTCCGACCTGATGAGACAATGAAAATAAAATTGCTCTTTAATGCCTTTTCTTTTGAAGTACTCAAGACAAAATATTCAATTAAAAGTTATTGCTGCAGTATTTAGTCTCTAAATTTTGAATCATTTTTAGGTCATGGCTTTAGGAGCTCCAAACAGCCACAGATTGCTCCAGAACCATTTTGATGCTATAAATATGCTTTGCTTTTTTTTGTAGCTTAACCAGTTTTGCGTTTTAACAATGATGCAGACATTTTGGTCTAAAATGGTTTAGATTGTCTTAAACAGATTGCATCCTATGCACCAACTAGTGGAGGTGCTTTACACCATTTCCTCATGCATCATGTAAACCAAGCCAGTAAACTAAGGCATATCTGACCCGTGTGCGATGTTCAGGATGATTCTGTGAAAAAAAGCAGTGATTTTACAGCCAGGTGTATTTAATAGGTCAGCAGGAAGTGAGGAATGTTTGACAGAATATTCTTGGAGGAAATTTTCTGGCACACTTACGTATTTTCAAGTACCACTCCCTAACTTAAGATATCCAGATAGGCTTTTTTTGGGGGAGTTTTTACAGCACTAGTGGCTCATTTTGACAGTAGACTGACAGGAAAGGGGGTATGAGAGAGGGGGACAGACATGCAATGAACCACAAGTCAGAATTGAATCCAGGTCAGCCGTCGAGGACTAAGGCCTCCGTAAATGGGTTGAGCGTGCTTATTGCCGGGCCAGCTGCAAACCCTTAAGAGGGTGTTAGGAGGTTAAAGGCTGTAAAAGCTTTTAGGAGATCAGAGGTTTATACTCATCCAGAAGAGACAAATCCTGGATCAGAGAGATATGCAGGAATGGCCTAGTCAAAGTTTAGACCTGAAATATAAATTCCCAATTAAAGGTTAGACAGCATCAAGGTATTTGAGCTACTGCAGCTGCAGATTATTGCCATTAAATGTAAATTTGCACATGCCTTTCAAGTTTTGCATTGGCAAAAGTCTAAGGTCTCTACAATTACACCCATTTAAGCCAAAATAACCAGACTCAGAATCTCTGGTCCCTTTATCTGCATTAGCATCTGCATTAGTATCTTCCATTGAAAACTGCTCAAGAACCTGACATTTAGACACCATTCAAAAACAAATGGAAGATCATCATAACTGGAATTATTGGCTTTCAGCTTCATAGATCAGTGGTCTAATCTCATTCCTTTGCATCTCCAGGTGAATAATCAGTGACACCATTTATCCAGCAATCTTTATTTATCTTTACACGTTACAAAAAGACAAGACGTATTTACAAACGGCACCAAACAGCTGTTCAGAGGAACAGGGAACAGTTTGGCTTCACAGACTAAAATGACTCTGGTGAGGAGGCTGCAGACACGGCCTTTATATGCAACCACAGCAGAATCCACCATCTTTGGAGGACGCGTCCCCTGGAATGAGGGAACTAGCTACTCTTGGAACTTGATCATCGATGGAGTAAACCTTGGAGAAATGCCCGAGTCGGAATCAGATCGCTCTACTTTGCCACCTCCATGGTTTCAGCGTTTTCTGCTGGGTCACCGTTAGCGCTGTGAACGCCGTTAGTGTGAGGCTGCTGAACGTCGCCCTCATCCTGCTTCACTCTCTTCACTTCAGTTTCCTTTACTGGACTCTCCTCTGGTTTCCTCTGCAGGGAAAAAAAAAAAAAAAACATGAATCATCTGAGCAGATCCAGTAATCTAAATTTCACTGCCAAATTTCATTAGTTGACTAGGCTTCCCAACAAAGCTGATTGGTGCATATTTTACACACACTGGTTTTTATATCAGAGGCATATATCGCCATCTAGTGGCCAAGTGCTTTTTTTCTTTTATTACTCAATATTGGCCTCAAACCTGAAAAATCCATATACTGTTATGTTCTAGTTTATCGTTTGAATGTTTAAAAAAAAGAAATTCCAGTTTAGAAGCACAGGGTTTGGAAGCAAACAGCTTTCTGCTGCAGGGTTGGAGATGAAAACCAGCTGCTATTTACAGAAAAACCCAAAAAGCTCACGAGATGCTTTGAATTATTTTCACATTCCTCTAAAAAGGATTTAGTAAATCCTGAAAACAAGATGTGCTGCACAACAGAGCAGTTATGGTTTGAAGCCTCCCCTCCACCACTTACCTTCTTCCTGACCAGGTGGGAGATGTCCGACACTGGGACTGTGGAGGCCTGTTTACTGGGACTGCCGGTGCTGTTAATCTGGTTGGAAAATTAGAAATTTACTTTGAGCATTTCAGATCATACAAAAATCAGATTCAAGTAGTGGTTAGACTAGTAAACAGTTAGCAATGATCCTGGATCGACTTGGGAGGAGAGAAGGAAAAATGCAGATATTCACAGAATAGATGCAGAAAGAAGACCTACATTGACTAAAAATGCCAAAACCTGCCAGGAGGAAAATTAAAATTTTCTACACTGCAAAAAAATCTAAATCTTGATAAGTCATTTTTTCTTAAAATAAGTGCATTTGTTCTTGAATTGAGGAGATAAGACATCTTGCCAATGGAACCAGACAATTTAGATTAAAAATAAGAAAACACAATTGCATTCTCTTATTTCAAGTGAATACAATTATCTTATCTTAAGAGTAAAAATACTGATTCCATTGGCAAACTCTCATTAACCTACTCAAAACAAGGGTAAATACACTTAATTTAAGAAATTTTTACTTATTTCTAGACTTTTTTTCCCAGTGTAGTACTTGAAAATCTTTAAAAAAAGTCTATATTCCCTTCCAGCTGCTATGAACAGCAGCAGGAAGACCTCAGACTGGCCTGGGGTCCCAGCATCACATCTCCAAAGAAAACTGAACATTTTAGTCTGATCATAACCCCGATCAAGTGGAAAAAAAAAACAAAGTTTAAAACTACTACTTCCTTTCCCCGAAGCAAATCAAATCAAACACTAGATTGGAAGGGACAGAACAAAGCGCATCAACCCCTTGAGCAACAGAGAATCCAGAGTGTCTAACCTCCGAATTGTCGAATTAGAGGCTTTGGAAACCTTTTAAATGCAGAAAAAGGTAAAAAAAAAACAAAAAAACACACCAGCAGTCCTGAGGAGATCCCTTTCCTTACCAGCAATCACAGGATGTGGTTTAACCATGACCCAATAGTCAGGAAAATTTACTTAAAAAGTACTAGAGTCTCAACTACATTCTGACAAAAATCTAAATTTGCTTTTGGAGCTGTAATTTGTTTTATCTGTAATATATTAAGCCTTTCCATGCAATGCTTTATGCATTTTCTGATTAAAACATGTCTGTTTACATCAGGGTGTTCCAAAAGCCATCCATCAGATACAAAATAGATTATATAAAGTATCGGAAGTCCTCCATGATCCAGGCAGCAGCCTTTCAGAGAAGCAGAATAAATACTCACTGCTGGAGCGGATGAGGAGTCATTGTTTACAGTGGAACCAGGCAGCGTGGTGGAAGCAGAGGAGCCGTCCTGCAGGGGGAGCAAAGGAAGAGCTCTGGTCATCTGGGCCAGAAATGTCCCACAACTACAACCAAACTGACAGATAACCTGCTACTCAAAAAAATAAATAAAACACTTCAAAAACTCTTTGAACAGATAAGATGGAACAAGCCGAGCTCATCGAGAAGAGCAGTATTTTAAAGGAACAGCATGTATTAACAGTAGGAGCTGTTCATACACTTTGATTTAGCTCAAGGCTAGCTTTAAAGGTACACTATGCAACCGGTGTTGATTTTCCAGTGAGGCTCCCTCCAGAGGGCGAAAGTAAAAGTGCACTGTCGTAAATATGCACAGCTGTTCTCCTGGTTTCTCCGTCAAGCCAGGCGCGGTTGTTTTGAGCTTAGCAGCGAATGACGCTGCGTTCACACTGGACGTAGCTGGCGCGACAGAAGCAGCGAGTTTACATGCAAAGTCAATGGTTGACGCGCGTCAAGGCGCCGCAAAAGGTCCCGCGGCGCGTTTTGAGCACCAGGCGCAGCACGTCTGAGCAGCTGAAGCAGCGCGTCGGGTGCGTTTAACGCAGGGAGAGAGACACAGCGCTGATGATCACTCCTCTTAAACAGTTTATTGATGCCTAAATTAACTTAAAATGCAGAAATCTGCCGGCAGAATATGCAGTTTGGATTATTTAGATGAAAAACACCTACCAGCTGCCGCGGTGAACCGCTGCTGATGAAGGGATCCATACTGTTGGCGCCCCGCTGGTATGTGGGGGTCTGAGCGGCTCCGACAGAAAAAATATTAAAGGCAGGATAATAATCTGAATGAACTGACTGCACTGATTACGTTTTCAGGTGTATTTTCTCACTTAAACACATTAAAACTACTTTATTCCCACTGATCATAGCAAATATAGCTGCAAGGCAGAGAAAGGATAGTGAAGCTCCGCCCAACGCGCCTCAGACACAGCCAGAGCAGCAAAGCTGCTTCAGCCACACGTCAGAACTAACTGGTACAAGCAGCAAAAAGGAAGCAGCAGACGCGATTTTGCTGCTTTTGCTGCGTGAACGTAGCATAACTGCACAAAGATCGCCACTGTGCTAGCAACGAGAATGCTTTTAACTGGGGGGTGTAGCAGTTCTCGCCGTAAAGCAAGACTGACTCTCGCGAGACTTCTGAGCCTGTGGGTGCGGGTCAGTGCTCCTGCAGTTGCAAGTGCAGTATTTCCCCCACAGACCACCAGGGCAGCCGAGAATACCTTTGTTCAACCTGAAATGACTCATTTAGTCATCCATAACGTTATGGAACACATTAATTAACAGAAAAATGTTGCATAGTGTCCCTTTAATATATAGTCCCATAGGATAGGGGCAGCAGATACAAGGACAAACAGCGCATGCAATAAGAAATACAGGCTATAGATGAAACATGCATGGAACAAAGACAACAACCATGAAAATGGACCATTTCAGCAGAAGCACAATGCAATACCTATAAATGACATAACATACAGTGAAGAGGACTGCATATTTAAGGGTGTTTTTGATACTGAGGTTAATACTGTTAATTGCTTTGTACCAGATTTAAAGTGTCTAACATTTCTTACTGATTACAAACTGGTTACCAGGTATCCATTGCTTAAGATGTTTCTTAAATTAAACAAAGGTGGCGCTGTCCTCGACTGCTATGAGCATTGCATTCCAACCTTTGCATCCCTAGACTAAGGCTACGTTCACACCACAGCCTGAATTGACCCAAATCTGATTCATTTGCGAATATGCGACCTGGATCTGATCTTTTCACGACAGTATGAACACAGATCTGACGTTTTCCAATGCGACCCAGGCCACTTGGTTATGTGCTCCTGAATCCGATACAAATCTTTTCAGATGCATCCGACCTGAACGTCATTAATACCCGACAAAGGTCACTCTTCTGCTTCTTGCTACGCAGAAGTGGCAAGAAAAACAACAATGGACGATGATGCAGGGAGTATTTATGTTTAACCATCTTGGAAAGATGGAGTTTTTAAGTTTGGGAAAGATCCCTAGATGTTCTCCAGCACTACCATCCATGTTTATTTCCATAAATACAGCCACTTGTGACATCATTGCGTCCTCTACTGTGCATGCAGGACACTTTGGTTGTATGAGTGCAGTTCACACAGGAGCAGAGGCGTAGCCAGAACATTTTTATAAGGGTGACCAGGCAATAACCAATGTACACTGAAGGGTGGCTGAAAGTAGAGGCACCAAAATGGTCAATCTACGCTGTTCCAACAGAAAAATTAATGAGCAAAACCTCCATATTTTCTATATAAAGAAAATATTTTCCAACAGCCTTTTGCTAACGAATCGACTAATATATTCAAACATCCATGCTTTCTAGATAGCAGGTATAGTGGATAAAATTCTTTCAGGTTTGAGTTTTGGGCAAATATCTTTTCCATTGTCATTACTTGCCTACTTTTATCAGTAATCATTCTGCATAAAATTGATGTTTACAAATACTAATATCTACATAAATTGATTAAAATTGTTATTATGGTTTCACTGAAGACTCCTGAATGACTTCTCTTTACCTCAAAAATCTAAATCTTTGCTTGAATTCTGTATTTATCATCTTGAATATTAATATATTTATGTGCATAATTAACCAGTGTTTTTTATGTTAATATATGAAAAATCAGCTCCATCCCAGCACAGGAGATCACATATAAAAACAGATTTCCTAAAAATAAAAAAAATTGAAATGGAGCGTGAAGGTCTGCAGTGCGAATGTAGCCTAAAAGAACATTCTGTGCAAAGGTGCATTTACTGATCCTCATCTGCACCTGCTGTCCAGCTCACCTGAGCAGCCTCAGCGCTGGTCTTCAGTCCCTCTGTGGTGTCCTCCACCTTCTCCTGGATCTCTGGGAGCAGAGCCTTCAGCTCCTCCAGCTCCTTCCTCTCCTCTGGCAGAGCTTCTGGACCCTCTGCTTTGTCGATCATCTCCTGCAGTTTCTCTAAAAAGGTGAAGAGCAGGGATGTTAAACGGGTTCCAGAAAGGGCCGTGTGGCAGCAGGTTCTCTTTCCAAGCAATAGCACACCAGACTGGTGTGCTATTGCTTGGTTGGAAAGAAAACCTGCAGCCAAGTGCCCCTTTCTGGAACCTGTTTAACACCCCTGGTGTAGCGAGTCTGACTAAAAACGAAGCTCTGCATGCAGCGAGCCGCCGCGGCGACAGCAGGCCTTACCTAGCCGACTCTTGATGACGGAGATGGAGTTATTGAGAGCCTCGATGGCCTCGGCGTGCTGAAGGTTCAGGCTGTAGGTCACCCCCAGCTGGTAGTGGGTCTCGGCGAGCAGCCGGCTGTCCGAGTCCAGGTGTTTCAGCTGGAGCTTCAGACACTCCTGGAAATCCTCCAGAGCCTGTGTGTAGTTCCCTGAGACGACAGCGAAATATGTTCCTCTCTGCGCCCCGTATCGGGTCGACCAAACGAAACATGGATGTAACAGACGGTGGTACCTGACTCAGCAGAAACCTCCCCCAGCTTCAGGTGGGTCTGCGCCGCCATCAGCTGATCCTCCTTCGTCTCCTTCCTAGATAAAAACTCCAGAGGTTAGCGTCCCACCTCGTAGACGCATAGGAAGCCTCCCTGCAGCAGCGCTACCTTTTGTAGATGACTTTAGCAACCTCCAGCATCTCCCAGGCCAGCTGCAGGTTCCCCACCTCATCCTCGCTGTCCTGAGGCAGAACCAGAACAGAACGGTTCGATTTCAGGGTTTCACCAGACGCCATCCACAGCGTCGGTTCGGGTTCAGTACCTTGTCAGCGGTCGCCTCGTCTTCAGCTTCCATTTCTTCGTCTTCCCCCTCTTCCTCCTCCGCCTCTTCTTCCTCATCTAAAATGGGAAAGTGCCAAAAAATTTAACACCAGGGTAAGAGCAAAATGATAGGCTATGGAAAACTCAGCTTACCTGCTTCTCCGTCTTTCTCCTCCTCCTCTGCAGCTGCTTTTTCTCCGTCTTTCTCCTCCTCCTCTGCAGCTGCTTTTTCTCCGTCTTTCTCTGCTGCTTCTTCACCCTTCTCCTCAGCTGCTGGTGCTTTATCTTTGTCTTCAGCAGGTGGCTCCTCTCCAGTCTCCGTCTCGTCTTTGTTTACTTCAGATTCTCCATTCTTCTGATCAGCTGTAGCCTCCGAGTCCTGCTCCTTATCCTCCTCTGCAGCCTTGCCCTCCTTCCCGTCCTCCTTCTCCGCCATGGCGTCGTACACCTGAACCCTCAGCTCGTCTCTGGTCTTCTCTAATGACGAGAAGGAGAGCAGAGTTACAGCCAGCAGCAGTAGAAGGCCCCGGGTGTCTCCCAGTCTGCTCACCATCAAGGTTCTCGGCGCTCTCGATGTTGGGGTCTTTGGGCTTCCCCTCTTCCTCGTCCTCCTCTGGCACTCCTTCCAAAGCGTTTCCCAGGACAGAGTTCTCCATCCTATAATCACATCCTTCCTATAAGACTTTTCTGGCTTAAAACACATTCAGGCTTCGGTTACTGTTGGCCTTTGAACCCACCGAGCCAAATCCAGCAGGGCTTTACCACACCAGTAGAACGCCTCCCCACATTCGTCCGCTGTGTCTCCGTACTTCTTAGCTCTGAAATGAATAAGTCCTTCATTAAGTTGAAGAATCAAGCAGGTTTTTAGAGTCAGCTCAGTGTTCCAGACTCATTTATACTGATGCATCCATCAGAGGCTACAGCTGGGCTAAACCAGGCGTGTCCAGTCAGTCCTCGAGAGCAGCTGTTCTGCAGGTTTTAGAGGTTTTCCTGCAGGACATCGGACATCAAGGACCAACTTTGGGTAACATGGGCTAAACAGAAACGGCTCTGCTGAAGTAATGATAGCAGACAGAAGCTGACCAGTTAGGTCTCCGTGCTGCGTTCAGGATCTTCTATAAGATTAGACTCGTCTGGGTCATCCTGAGCCATCTGTTTAGCTCATTACGAGCATTTAACTTTTAACTATGTGGTGAGGACTTTGATCTGGTTCATTTTTCTCATCATTCACCATTTTACATGGGATAGGGGGGCGGCTCATGTCAGCAACTACTCTGGCGGCAAAGAGTTAGACCTTTTTATATGCAACTCAAAAGATCTCAACACGTCACCAGGAACTTGACTGTTAATGGAAATCCTACATGCAGGTTGGTTAATAGCTTAAAATCTGGGGACATAAACAGCTTTCATTTTAGACAGAAGGAATATGCACCAGTCATAAACCAACCCAGGTTTACATTTCTATTGGGGAATAAGCAGCACTTAAAGCTGTCCTGATATAGTTTTCCTAATTAGTGATTAGCAAAAGCCAACCTGAAACTGGAGAAAATGATTCAGGCTTTGAACAGACTCTACAGTATTAGATAGTCCTTTAAATAAATACTGCAAATTTATCAATACTAATCCAAAACTCACTTAAGAGAAACTTTCATTAAAAAAATAATCATGACACGGCTCGACTTGAAATCTATTTTCAATTTTCCCAAACTCAAATTTCTGGATTTGAAATATTCTAACAGGTAGAACATTTGTTATTTATTCTGCTGCTATTGTGTGTAAAAAATGGCAAAATAAAATATTTCTGAGTCTATTATTCTAATTTAGTTGAATAAATTTGTTCCTTGGAAGACTTATAAATCTAAAAAGGAAGGTTACATTAAATTATACCTCTGATGACAGATGGATTACAAATCAAACTTGGATCTCGATATATACTTTAAGTATTTGGGCAATAAGACATATTGAAAATTGTTACTTTATTCCTAAAACAAATTTATGTGCAAATCAGGATTGACACCTAAACAAGGAGGAATCTTGGGTTTTAAAATGTAGTTAAATGAAGGAATTTGATAGATGTTTAAAAGAGGTTAGAAACCTGTTTAGTTTAATAAACCAACTTTAGTTTTTTAATTAACTCTCCGATACTGCCTAATCATGATGGATACAAACACAAAATAAAGAGACATTCATTTCCATTGAAGGCAGCTGCCACAGATCAATTATCGTAATGAATGGATAACATCCGGTCTGAGGCGCATTTAATCAGTATAATACAGCACACCTGGAAGAAACTGCCATCAACCAAACAATTGCATTACTGGAAAGTAAATATTTGTCGCCAAATAAAAACTGCTTTAAGAGCTCAAATGTGTATCTAATAATTAATGTTAGTTCCAACTCGCCAGCTTTAAGAACTATATAAAGTCTATTAATGTTGTTATTTAGTGCTGCGGTGAACTCACAGCATGCCGCAGGCCTCCTGCAGGGAGCTCACCGCCTCCACAACCTTCCCCATCACCAGGTACTTCTTTCCAGTTCCGACGAGCTTGTTGGCTTCCTCCATGTTTAACTTCACCGGACAGAGAGAGACCAAAGGAAGGAGTGAGCAGAGTTCAAAAACCTAAAGAACACAAAATGTTGTTTTAAATGGCAAATTATTACATAGATTAAATGTATGTATGCTCTGCTTTGGAGAGCACTTTATAAAACAATAAAAAGTAGCATAAAAGAATACCTGGTTTGAGAGGAGCAGAGGCAGTGAGAGGCTCAGGAGAAGTGAATCGGTCCGCGCGTGGAGTGCTCTGTTGTTTCAATTTAGCGCGAAAAAGCCCCCCTACTTCCGGTTCCCAGACAAACGCGGGAGAATTCTTAAAGGTACAGACACACTTGTTCCAGGAAAAAAAAAAAAAAAAAAAACATATTTATTTCCATTTTCCATTTCCGTTTTGGAAAATTCAACAAAAATCTAGTATTTATTTTTGGATTAGTACGGAAGACGAAAAGGGCCCCTGGAAAAATAAAAAAAGTTAACGGATTTTTAAATATTATTTCAGTTTAATGTGGGGGAAAAAAGTCAGAATTCTGGGCTTAAATTCAGAGTTCTGAGATTAAAGTCAGAATTCTGAGAGAAAAAAGTCAGAATTCTGAGAATAACGTCAGAATTCTGAGATTAAAGTCAGAATTCTGAGAAAAAAAGTCAGAATTCTGAGATTAAAGTCAGAATTCAAATTTTTTTTTCTCATATTATACCAAAAAAAATAAAAAATCTGTAAACTTTTTTGTTTTTTCACTGGTTCTAATCCTCTTCCATAGATAGATAAGAACACGAAAGTTAAAAGGATAGTTTAACTCTCTGCTATGACAAAAAGAGAAATCTTCTGAAGCTTTTTTCTTAATGTAGGAGCCTGAATTTATACTTTGTGATTTTCTTGGTATGCATTATGGTTAATGTTTTGTGTTTTGTTTATCCTGCTAAATGAACTTTTCTTAATATTATTGAATATTGGTAATTCATACTAATTTGGGGGAATTTGTATATTTAGCTATTGTGGTTATTTTGTTATTATTTTCATTACTTTTCTGGTTTAAGGATGCATACGTGTCACTTTTTAAGGATGATATATCATGGGAGTTTCGTTGTTGTGTATCTCACAGAGTGGAGCCAAATGGTTTTTTAACCTCTATCGCCCTTTATTTTTTGTATGTATGTTTGGCACCCCTTTATCCCATCTACTCACTAAAACATTTTTAAATGCAATAACGTCTCCGTGGATTTCTTGGAGGAATCTTCTGAATAACTTGTCTTTGGATATGTTCAGGGCGCAGCGAGTCAGGCCGGCTTCACTTATTTTTGAACCCTACACTTATTTTAGGTATTTTTATGAGCTTATTTTAAATGAGCCAAACTTTTTAATTGCTTGTTTTATTGCAGTTAATTTCCTTTGTTTTTATCAAAACACTTCTCTATTGTAAATGTGTTCTTGGATCTCAACGAGAACACCTGTATAAATAGTTCTATTTAAAAAAAAATAGTATTATAAAAGAGAACAAATGTGGAAACAAGTTTAAAAACAAGTCAGGGTAAAAAAAAAACTCAGAAGAGCTGCTGAACTGTTTTTAATCCATTTCTTCTTGTTCTTTATTAGCTAAAACATTTTAATCCCCATTTGATTTTGAAATTGTTTACCTGCTACCATTACCTGCTTAAACTGACATTGTTATTTTGTTCAGATATAACCAGATCCTTCATTTTATCCCCTTCTAAAAGCTGTAACAGATTTAGTTACTGAGATATTACTATAGTAATGAGGACTGAATTGAGTTGAAGACAAACACAGGTGTGGCTCAGTATATTTTTTTTATTTTTCTATGTGTTAGTAGATCTGCAGCTGACGGATCATTAGCAGGTGCCTGTTTATGTTTATGAACGGTTAGTTATAGTTGTATCCTGCTGTGACTGATGGCTCCCCTCTGAGTTTTTCCTGCTGACTCTAGTCTCTGCTTTGTCAGAACATGTCTCAGCCTGACACTCAGTCAACCAATCTGCCTTCATTTAGGACAAAGATCTACATCATTTGCACATTTTGAGTGACTGTGAGACCAGACCCTCCCTGTTTATGCCTTCCAGGGTTCCAGTAAAGAATTACTCATTTTTGAAGCTAATTTAGGATCTCCACTCAGCTTAACATGATTTTTTTTGGACTGCAATAGGAACCCAGAGTACAAAGAAAAAAAAAACCTCAACCTAGAAGATTTACATGCAATAGGTCTTTGTTGTTAAGTGAAAGGGGCATACTATGCTGAAAAAATATCCACAACATATTGAAAGTTTTATAAGGTCTCAGTCATTTTCCCGTCGCATTCACAGCATATCTTTTGAACCCCAAAGCCTCTTTAACTTAATTCTGTAACAGAGCCCTGGAGGACATGTTTAGTACAGCAAGAGACCCTTTTAGCAAAAAATATACCCTCTATGATTTTCCCAAAATGCCCAAATAGGTATAATGTTAAATATAGGACATCCTACTGCAGCCTTAATGACACATGTAGATATATGGATATGCAGTAATAAATTGTGAGAACTAAATTAGGTTGCATATAAATATTATGCATTACATCAGATGCACATGATAATATTGTTGTATTAGTAAAGTCAGCTTGAAGGAACTGCATGAAGTTGTGAGTGAAACTGAAGCCAGAAAGAGGCCACCCTTATTAAGCCTGAGGAAGAACAGACCAAAGTTTACCACAGCGACAGAATCATCGACTAATGGAGTTTTGTTCTCTGGACACACGAGTCTCTAAACTACCCATAAATAAATGACATAAACTAACCATAAATGATAGAAACCAAATAATTTATTTCAGAAAAAACATCCTAGCCAGTTTAGCATGGGTCCGTTGCTGCTCCTGAAAGCTTTGTTTGACTCAGTAGTGACAGGCTACTTTAGGAATGCTATCACAGATCCCTCCCCCCCTGCAGCTTTTAGGCATTAGAAGCATCACCGCTTCTCTCAATCAGCTGTTTATATCAATGTTTTTTTTCTCATTATTCTTCTTAATAGTTTGTTGCTGGTTGTTACATCCACATTTTGTACGTTGTTCAAACTATCCCACTAAGTTGCACATGTTATTAGATAGTATAGTTGGATCTATTCTAGTATAATGGATCTATTCTATAATACTTACCATGTTTCAGAGGGTTTTTGAGGAATTTAATTAAATGATAAAAAATATTAATCCCTAATATGTGGTTGAAAATTAAATTTCCTGTCTTCTGTTTACAAATATTGATTTTTGAATGCTGATTCTGCATATACTTACTTTATATAAGTATTCACTCAGGCCTCAGAGCTGCAAAGCTGCATGGCTGAGGGACAGGAGATGTTTTTTTTTATCCTATTATGGAGTGATTGTGGTAGAAAGTAATCGTTCTCATAACAAGCTAGACTCTTTCTCAGGGTTTATTCATAACATTTAATTATTTTCCTTAACTGTCTGTAATTGTTTTGATTAACTGTATGAAGACCTTCACAGCCTTTTTGCAGGGTTTTAAGTTATTGAGAGGATTTTTTTTGTCTAGTCAAGCTAGACAAACTGAACATCAAGAACATCAAGCTGCTATGATTTGCTGCTATGATTCATCTCTTTATAAAGATGAAATAAGATGCCAACTGGGTGAATTACCATCTATCTTCTTTATTGAACTGGATTCCATTGTTGAATTTTTTTCCTGTGACACCTAACAAGATTAAATGTTGTAACTTATAATAAAGGGTTTTCTTCATCCAGTTTTTGTAGCTGATGATGTCTGTAGACAGGAAGGCTCCCCTGTGGAGGCTCTGGAGAAGCCTCTGACTGAAGATGCTCTGTTCAGATAGTCTAATGATTAGGCAATGATTGAATTGGCTCAAACCATCTGTTAATTACAAACATAGAGCTGGACCCATCCATGTGACAATGACCTAAAACATGACAGCAAATCCATCAAGGACAGGAAGCCCAGATTTTGACGTCACACGGAGACCACAAAAACCTCTCCCAGAGGTGTTGGGAGCTGGAGAAATACACCTTTTCTCCAGCAGAGTCCGCCCTGGATCCTCCCTGCTGAGCTGCTCTGCACACCTGCAGCTGATGATCTCTTCTGGAGGACCTGGACTACTTAAGCTGCCTTCAGACCTTGCCTCGACGCCGCAGTGTCTTAATCAGTTGGTTAGCACTTAAGCCATAGATCCCTAGTGAACCAAGTCTCCTTTGAGTCCAACCTGGATTCTAACCCTTTTGTCTCTGCTTCCAGGTTTCCTGTTCTTTCTCCTGTGAAGCTCTGGAAGAGCTTAACCTGCCGAGCCAGCCCTCCGAGCCAAACCTGAAGACTCACTCTCTGGATTTCCTAGCAGCTCTGGATACCGAGCTGGAAACACAAGCCAAGGTCAAAACAGCCTTTAGAAGTAAGACGCTAAAACAGCTTAAGGACTCTGCCAACCCAAGCTTTCTCCGGACCCAACAGTTCCGCTCCCAAAGCCTCCTCTACGTTCATCAAGGTACAAACCTGAACACAATCAGTCAAGTCTCAACCAAGCCTTCGCTAACCAAACTGTCTTTCTCCCATGACGCCAGTGAACCGGTCCCAGCCCAGAACCATTGCATCATTCTTTATTATATGTGTGAATTTGCCAATAAACTCTGTTAAACTTTCCATCCGTGTCGTCAGTTTTCTGCATATTGGGCCTCCCTGATACCCATCATGACAGAACACTGCGGCCAAACACAAGGCCCAGCAGATGATCTCCTCCGCCGATTGCAAGAACAAGATGTCCAAATACAAGGACAAACTCAGACCCTCCGTGAGTTGTACCGTCTGGTTGATATGCATAATCATATGCTTCAAAACTACGCTAATTACGTGGGTAATGCTAATCCCGCTCCAGTAACCCAACCATTTCCAGGTCCAGTTCCTCCGCCGAGGTCACCGGCTGTGACGTCATCCGAGTTCCGCCCAAGTCTCCCAGAGAAGTTTTCTGGTAACGTAACTGATTGTAAGGGATTTTTATTTCAATGTCGTCTCATTTTTCAGAACTCTCCTGCCAGTTTTCCCACGGACCACAAGAAAATAACGTT